TGACATCTAGTACAGGCCAGGTTTACAGTAAGGGGCCCTGGGGGGCCCAGCCCAACAGTTGTGGCCCTAGGCTTTTGACCCTGGCAGGGCAGCGGCACACACCAGGGCGGTGCTGGGCGCTCTAGCCACCTGGTCCAAGACCATTCACCCTCTCTGGAGGTCTTCCTGGGTCCCAGGGCCCACTCACACCATTTCGGGAACTGGGGAGCCCCTCCCACCCTTCTCAAGGGCAGCCCTTCGGCGGGGAACCCCTCCCTCTTCCCCACACTCCGCTTGAGTCGCCAGGGGGAAAAGCGCCCCTTTCTTTCCTGCTAAAAGGTGCCTGTGTGCAGCTCGCCAGTCCCGGGGTAATTTTAACTCGGGCTGGCCAAAAAAATGCCGCCGGCTCCTCGCTTTCCCCGGCGACGGGGTGGCGGCGGGGACGGGTGGCGGAGCCCCGCCCCGCCCAGGTGGGCCTGGCTGAATGGGGGGCTTGTGCTGCGGGCAGGGGGCGTGCTCGGCCGGCCCGCCCGCCGCCCTGGCGTCTGCCGGCCACCCCACCGGCGCGCTCAGAGCGCGGGTGCGCGGAGCCGGACGCAGCCATGGCGCTGGCGCTGGCCCTGCTTCTGCTCGGGCAGCTCCTGGCTGTGACCGAGACGCAGGTGAGGCCTGGGCGCGGGGCACCGGACCGGGTCCCCGGGAGGCCTCGGGGTCCGGGGCTCTGAGCTCGGTCGTCAGGAGCCCCCACCCCGCCACCTGGTAAGCGGCGAGCCCCGGCCGCCGGCAGCCGGCCGCCGGCTTGTCGCCCAAAGCCGCTTCGCCGTCGGGGCTATGGGTCCCCCGACTGAGCCCCACGAGTGCCGGGATGCCTCCGGGGGGCGCCCAGGGGCCGCCCCATCGTCGCCCGCCGGGCTGCCGCCGCCCGGGACACACAATGTCGCCTTTGTTCCTGGGGGTTCCCTGGGCCGGAGCCGGCGCCCTCGGCGCCGCGTGGGACTGTCCGCGGCCCTGGACTCTGGGGGCTCAGAGGCGGGCGGGGTGGCGGGTCCCGGTCTAGTCCCCCCCAGGGCCCCCGTGACAGGCCCAGCACTTCTCCTGAGACAGAAAGAGGGGGCCCACCGGACACCCCACAGCGAGGACCTGCCACAGAGGCGGGTGGCAGCAGGGAGGCTGCCTAACGTCTAATGTGGACTCTCTCCGTTTCAGAAAGTGGGACCTCCGGGCCCCCCTGGCCCCCAAGGGCCTCCTGGCAAGCCGGGCAAGGATGGCATTGATGTGAGTGGGGCCCCCTCCCGTGGTGGGGGAGGGCTCTGTGAAGTTCTAGCTCTGGCTGCAGGCTGTGAGTCCACCACTGCAGAGAAAAAGAGGGGGCCATCTTTGGCCAAGATCCAAGGTGGGATTTGAGCCGGGACAAAAACCCTCCTTGTTCTTCTGCAGGACAGATGAGGACAGTGGTCCTTGGACAGGAAATGTGGGTGCAGAGGTGTATGTCTCTGGGTCCTCCTCTTGGGGGTCTGAGCTCAGGGACTCAGTGAGCTGTGGGTGTCTTTCTGGGTGGTGGGAGATGGCGTCTCCCTGGAGGGGGTGGGGACCAGCTCTGCCGAGGTGTTCTCTGTGGGTGCCCCAGATGGGCCCTGTCAGGCAGCGTGAGTTGTGGGGCAGCTGGGCTCCTGTGTGGCCCCCAGTTCCTCATGAAAGGCCCTCTGAGGTCTCTCCTCGTGGTATTGCCCCCCACCATCCTCAGCCTGCACCCCCACCTCAGCACCTCACCCCGCACCCCAACCTCAGCCTGCACTTTCCCCCTTAGCCTGCACCCCCACCTCAGGCTGCACCTCCCCCCTTAGCACCTCAGCCCGCACCCCCACCTCAACCTGCACCCCCTCCCCCTACTGTCCCTGAGGGCCACACACCTTCCTCGCTCCACTGCAGGGCTGCTACTCAGGGCTACTTGGTTGGGTCCTGGGCCTGGCCTGGTCAAGTGCCCTGCCTGCCCCCATGCCCTCTGCTGGTGCAGGTCACCCCGGGTCCCAGGGCCCTTCATGGCTTCTGCCCACCTGGGGCCGCTGGCATCTTCCAGTTGACACTAGGCCTAAAGGGTTTCAAGACGGTGGCTGTCAGTGTCGATGTTGTCAGTGGAGGTTGTCAGAGGGGGGCTGTGGGGTCCTTGCTGGGGCTGCAGGTGGCTGAGCGGCCCCCTCCATGACCACCTGGAGCCGGCGGCCTCTGGGCACCCACAGCCTGCCTGTGAAGGCTCCCAGGTAGCAGGGGTGGGGCTTTGTGACCAGCCGGTGTTTCCGGGGGATTGTCCCCAGCGCCCTCAGAGTGGGCCTGCAAGGCAAACCCCGTTGCACCCTCCTCTGTCCTTTCCCCAGTGCCCCTCTCTGTCCTTGGCCTGTGGTGGGGAGGGATCCCTTAGTTGGGGTGATGAAAGTGGGGTGTGGGGGCATCCCATCTTATCTCAGCCTGCAGGCTTTGGGGCTCTCTGCTCCCCTGGGAAGGGTTTTCATGTCACACGTGGGTGTCCTTCCCCTGCAGGGAGAAGCTGGGCCTCCGGGTCTGCCTGGACCCCCGGTGAGTGTGCCCTGATGTGGTGAGAGGGGCTGGGGCGGGGTGGACACAGAGGACAGAGGAGTCATTGAGGTCCCTCCCACTCTGCTGGGCCCAGGGCCGCCCAGAGGGGCCTCAAAGGACCAGGAACAGGGGGTATGCAGAGAGGGGGTGCAAGGAGCTGTGGGGTTTCAGTATGTCTGGGCATGTCTGGCTTGCAGGCTTTCTTTGGACCAGAGCCCAGTGGTGTGAGGGGGAGGGGGACAGCCACCCGTGCGTGGTGGTATGCTGACCCTGACAGAGTGGGGCTGGTCCCCCGTGCCCAGATGTTGAGGTGCCTGGTCCTGAGACCTGTCTCGACCCTCTGGGGGAAACTAGAGGAGCCCACTGGCCCGTAGCTGGGGAGGTCGAAGTGACCAGGTGACAGACACCACTGATGATTTGAAGGCAGCCTTCCTGGAGCCAGGCAGGTGGGCAGGTGGGGCCAGGCCTGGGGTCTCAGGGCAGCAGGGAGGGGCCGGGGTCCCGGAACAACAGGCCCGTCTCTGATTGCCGGCGGGGCCAGGTCAGGTTGGGAAGACATTTTCCTTCCCCGCTGCAGGCAAAGGCTCACCGGCTGCCTCCTCACTCACTGCTCTTCCCTCCGCGCAGGGACCAAAAGGGGCCCCAGGGACAGCAGGAAAGCCAGGAGAGGCCGGGCTGCCGGGGCTGCGGGGCGTGGACGTGAGTACCCGCCCTCCCCAGCCAAGCTGCATCCCAGGGTCCAGGGCTCAGCGTCTAATTGCTGCCCTCCAGCTGAGCGCTCTCAACCAGGCAGGTCCTGTAAAGGCCGTCCCCACGTCCCCCACAGGGGGCCCTTGGCCCTCATCCCAGCCCTGCCGACGACGTCTGGCGGATTGGCAGAGCCAGCTCACAGCTAGAGCAGAGAGTCCGCCAAGTCCTGCTCAGCCAGGAACAAACAACCATTGTCCCAGTGCTGCCCACACCGCCCTGGGCCCCAGCCACCCTGTCTGTCCTCCTGTCTGTCGTCTGTCTGTGGTGGGGTTGGAGGCTTGGCTGCACGTGGGCTTCGTTAGTCAGGACTAGCGACAGTCTGAGACACGCACTCTCCAGCCAGGCTCCACCCCACTAGGTGCCCCCACATCCCCACCCCAGCTCTGGGTGCAGCAGGGACCCCATGACAGAGGAGAGTCAGGTGTTAGAATAGCCTCTCGTGTGACCCCTCGACCCTCCCCTGCCCCGTTCCCAGGGTCTGACTGGGCGGGATGGACCACCTGGACCCAAAGGTCTCCCTGGAGAACGGGTGAGTGCCCCTGGGTCCCCAGGGTGGGCTGGTGGTCTTCGAGGCTAGGAGTTGCCTGCAGGGAGCCTGCAGCAGCCAGGGCTCAGCTCCCCGCCCTGCCCCATGCTCCTGTGTGGGGTTCACTGACCGGCGCCCAGGACAGCACCTGTACAACATTGGGCGCACCCTCGGGCCTCACTTTCCTGTGAAACGGGCCTTCTCTCCTGCCCACCCCCACAGAGGAGCTGTGAACCTCCGGGGGCACTTGGGGCCGGGAGGGGCTTGCCCACAAGCCAGGCACAGCCCCTGTCTGACAACAACCATGTTCCTTCCACAGGGAGGCCTGGGGCCTCCGGGGCCACCCGGGCTGGGGGTGAGTACTGTGCTCTCCGTGGACTTTGGGGTTCCCCAAGCCCAGGCGGGGTGTCCTCCAGGAGCCCCAGAAGCTTGGGTCTGCCCCACCATTGAAGCCTCTGGTGGGGGCTCCCTGGGCTGTGTTCTGAGGGGGTCGCAGGGTTGGGCCCCCAGGTCTTCCCAGAGAGTTTACCTCTGTGTTGCTTTGGCAGGGCAAAGGCCCCCCCGGACCACCTGTGAGTACCACCCTCCCTGAGCCCCTACGCTGGCATATGTGGTACCCCAGGGCTGTCCCCACCCCAAAGCTAACCTGGAATGTCCCCCGGCAGTGGGGGAAGGGGCTCCTCTGTACCTCATCCCCACTCCCCAGAGTCCTGTCCCTTCAGAGGGTGAACAGCCCCTGCAGACCTGAGATGGAGGAGGCTGGGTGCCCTGGGGCCGGACCCCCAGGGACCTCAGGCTGCTGTCCTTTTCCTTCCTGCAGGGAGAGGCAGGTGTGAGCGGCCTCCCCGGTGGAATCGGCCTCCGGGGCCCCCCGGTGAGTGGCTGCCCCAGACAGCACCCTCCAGCAGCAGTCTGAGTTAGCATGCCCTTGGTGACCAGTGACCACCCATGAGCCCACCAGGGGCTCCCATGGCCAGCTGCCAGGGCCTGTCCTCCCCTCCCTCTGCTGCTCCCCCTTCCCACCCCCCCTTCTCCTTCCTCTCCTCCCCTCCCTCTCTCCCCCTTTCCTCTTCTCTCCCCATCCTCTGGGCTGGCAGGTGCTGTCGGAGCCCTGGCCCTTGGCGCTACTTCAGGGAGAGGGACAGACCAAGACCAAGCAGGGGAGGAGGGGGGAGCCTGGGTGTCCCCACAAGTAGCTGTCTGAAAGGGCGGCTTCTCTTGGGACTGGTGGTCACCTCCTCTCAGGTGGGGGTTGGTCCTGCCCTAGACAACCCGTACCCTGCCCCCAGGGACCCTCTGGACTCCCAGGACCTCCAGGCCCCCCAGGACCTCCTGGACCTCCTGTAAGTACTGGGCAGAGGTTGTCCGGAGCTCATGGGAACGTGCTGGGGCTAGGCACAGTGCCTACAAGGAGCTGGACTCCCCTGTCCCCATGGCCCCTGGAGATGGGCCAGCGGGTATGGTGGCCATCTCTCCCAGGGACAGTGGTGTCTGTTGTTGTCACATGGCACCAGCACTGGCCATGTGGGGGAGGGGGCCTAGAACCTCCCCGTGGGAGGCTGCAGGCTTGGCAAGTCCCTGCAGAGAGGGAGGGTTGTGGTCTACAAGTGGGTGGGTGGCTGGCTACGTGGAGGGAGGGAGATGGGCCAGTGGGGTGGTGTCAAAGTCAGCTCTCTCTCTCTGCTCCAGGGACACCCAGGGGTCCTTCCTGAAGGTGCTACTGACCTACAGGTAGGCACCTGCAGCCACTGGTGGATGGAGCTGGGGATGCCCCATGCATGCATGTGTGTATACATGTGCCCATGTGTGCATAAGTGTATACATGTATGTATGTGTGTGTGTACATGTGTGTATACATGCACATGTGTGCCTGCCCGTGCATGCAAGTGTGGTGTGCATACATATACAACCATGTGCATATGTGCACGTGTGTGCATGTGTATACATGTATTGTGTACACGTGCCACATGTGTATGTGTGTATACATGCGTGTATGTGTGATCTACCATATATGTTATGGTGTATACGTATATGTGAGTGTACATGTGCCATGTGTGCATCTGTGTGCATGGAATGTGCCCACATGTGCATGTGTGTGCATGCACGTGTGCATACGTCTATCAGGTATCCGTGTGTGTGCGCATATGTGCGCCATTTCCATGTGTGTGTGCATGCATGTGTGTGTTCATGAGGGGTGGATCTGGCCTGACCCACGGCCTCAGGAAGCCTTGGATGTGGCATCCTGTTCAGACTAGTGGGAGCAGGTCTGTCCTAACCCACGGAAAGCAGGGCTGCGAGTGCCTAGAGCTAAATGCAGGAGGTGGCAGAGCTAGAGGGGTGGGCAGGGTCTTAGCAGGGCTGGCGACACCAGCCGGCCCAGTCCGGTGCAGCACCTGTCTGGGGAGCCTTCCTGTGCCCTCCCCAGCCCCAGCCCAGGCCAGCACTGCCCATGCACAACAGCGTTTGTGTGGATTAGGGAAGACGCATCACACGTTCCGCCCCTCTGCGCTCCGGCTGCACCAAGTCTCCCAGTGCTGGGTGTCCAGTGGGCGCACTGGGCGGCAGGCAGACAGTGCTCTTGTTGAAGGGGGATCCAGAGCCACCCGCAGTCGCCCCCTGGGAGGCTGAGTGGGGCGAGAACTGGCACATCTGTCTCTCCTCCCTGTGTGGCTCCTGGTATCGGTGGCACCTCGTTTCCATGGCTCAGGCTTTTGTATTCTCGAAGGACAGTCCACCTACTTTCTCTGAACTGCAGTGGGGAACTTGCCAGCTGTCCCTGCTGGCCACCCCCACCTGGGTGGGCCTGGGGTGGGAGGATCCCCAAGGACCAGAGACCTTGGGCCGAGGGCAGGTGGAACAGCAAGGTTGGAGGTGCCAGCTCTGTGGAACAATCTGCCAATGTCAAAGCCTCTGTGTCCGGGGGGCCGCTGAGCTAACACCTGGGCTCCTGGGACGTCATTCCCAAGATGCCGCAGCCCAGCGACCTGGCAAGAAGCTGCGGGGAGGCTGTCTCCATAAAGCAAGTGGCCGTGCACTGAGGGCTGGTGGGGGGCACGCATCCCTGGCGGGCACTGCAGCAACTAGAGCTCGTACAGGTGGAGCCTCTGGGGTTGGGCCCTGGGACAGCCCTGCCACCCCACAGCCAGCACCAAGTAGGCCCCGTCTGGTGACTTCCTGGCCCTTCTCAGGCCCCTGGGGCTGACCCCAGCTTCGGAGGGGTGTTCTGAGCAGCCGGCCAGCTCCTGTTCCCCAGAGGAGTCTGACCCTCTGTGCTTTCCAACAGTGTCCTGCCATCTGCCCACCAGGTCCACCTGGCCCGCCAGGAATGCCAGGGTTCAAGGTGAGGGTCACAGTGGGAGGGAGGCAGAGAGCAGGGCAGGTGGGGGTAGGTGGAGAGCCAGAGGGCCTGGCCCGTGTTCCCAGTGTTGTCACAGGAAGAGAGGGTCAGCCCCCTGCCCTGCTTAGGAGCCCTTGTTCTGTCCCTGTCCCCACATCACCCTGGTGACCCACTGGCTTGGGGGGCTAGGCCTGGGCCAGGAGGGTCAGAAGGTGGCGTTAGCCTGGGCATGGGAGGAGAACCAGCGCTGTACGGCATCCGCCCCACCTGCCTGCCACCCCCGCCTCCCACTCCCTGGCCTGACCCCAGCCCTGTCTGCACCCCCCACTCTGCCCACTGCCGCCACGCCATGTTGAGCCTCTGGTGGACCTGCTGTCCTGAGCTCTTTGGGTGGCTGGATCCCATCCTCTGGGGATGAGGGTATCCAGGGGTCCATGCGGGCTGTGACACATCATCTGCTGTGTTGGCTTCAGGGTCCCACGGGCTACAAAGGGGAGCAAGGAGAAGTCGGCAAGGACGGGGAGAAGGTATAGACTCTGCTGGGCTGGGCGGAGCCTGGGGTGGGTGGGGCTTGGTGTGGGCGGAGGCTGAGGTGCATGGAATCTGAGTGGGCAGAGCCTGATGTGGGCGGGGCTTGGTGTGTGGAGCCTGGGGCAGGCAGACCCTGATGTGGGCGGGGCCCTATGTGGGCAGAGCCTGACAGGGGGCTCGGTGTGGGTGGAGCCTGGCCTAGGCAGAGTCTGGTGTGGGTGGGGGGTGAGTGGAGCCTGGCATGAGTGACACCTGAGCGTGGGCTGATCCCGAGGGTGGCTATGAAGCAGAAGAGGGTCTGGGGAGGGGTCTGGAGGACCTGCGGGACTGGAGACCCCAGGTTATAGCTGCATGGGTGTGCATGATGTCCCAGTGGACACACCTGACCATCCTGGAGACAGGCTAGTGTCACTGCAGGCAAGTGCCCCTCCCCCTATGAGCCCCTCCCCCAGCCTTGTAGCTCAGCTGGGAAGTGGGAGCTGTCCCCTACCACACAGGCTGGGAGTGGGCAACAAGCGGTGGGGGAAGGGCCCACCTGCTCACACACTTCCTCATTCCGTTTCAGGGTAACCCTGGGCCCCCTGGGCCTGCTGGCATCCCGGGCACCGTGGGGCTGCAGGTAAGGTTGGCAGGGTGGGAAGCCCTCGGACGGATAGATACCCAAGGATCTGCCCACCCCCAGCAGTGGGACTGTATGAGAAACAGAGCGGGTTCCACCTGCCCACGAGCTCTGGGAGTCTGGGGGCCTGGAGCTGAGGCTGAGAGTGTTCAGGAAATCAAAGGCCCCCCCAGAGCCAGGAACTTCACATGGGCCCCCTGGGGTCTGGGGGACAGGCGTCTTGGTAGCAGTCTGCATTTCTGGTTCTCTTCCCAGGGCCCCCGGGGACTGCGAGGTTTGCCAGGGCTGCTTGGACCTCCCGGGGACCGAGTAAGTCCTGCCCCCCCTTGTGGGGGCTGTGTGCAGGGGACGGGTCAGCCCTGTCCCAGCACACAGATGTCCCAGCAGCTGTCTGTCCTTGGTGACTGTGGACCACCCTTTGAGGAAGCCCAGGGGGCTGGGGGCCCGAAGCCTGACCCCCCAGAACTCAGGCTGCCCCCCAGCCACTCTGTGCTATCAGGATCCTGGGCTCCAGCTGCTGGTCAGAGCCCCAGGCTGTGGGTGGGAGGCAGGGCAGAACCCCCCTGGCCTCGGTTCACATGGCAGCCATCGGGGAGGCTGGGTCCAGTTTCCTTCAGGACCCCCCACAATTCCACGAAACAGGGCTAAAGGGAAACGGGGTGGAGGAGCTTGAGGACTGCCGGAGCCTGGCTGATTCTAGCCACTGGACAGAGAAGCAGATGTCCTTGCTGTGGGTGGGCGGGGCTGGCTGGGGGCGGGGGGTACAGGTGATGGGCTCTACATGGGAAGGGACACATGTGACGGGCTGCACATGTTGAGCCTCTGGTGGACCTGCTGCCCACATAGGGACCCGCCCACATCAGGCTGGGCTCCAGATGGGCTGGGTCCAGACTCCCTTCTCCTCCACAGGGTCCCATTGGGTTCCGAGGGCCCCCCGGTATCCCAGGAGCACCCGGGAAAGTGGTACGTGTGTCACGTGTGTGTGTGTGTGTGTCACGTGTGGCGGGTGGGTGAAGGGCACCTGCCAGGCTATGCCTGACCTCATGGGGCCGAGGTGGACTCAGGCCCCCTGAGCAGGTGCCTGTGACCAAGAGCTGCTTCTGGCAACTTGGTGAACCAGGCTGAGAGCCCTGGGTGGGGACACGTCACTTCTCACCGTGAACGTGAAGCAGGCCCCTGCCTCTGGCCCTCAGCAGGCTTGGCCCTGCTCTGCTCCAAGGGGGTGCTGCGCTGCCCCTGCAGTCAGGCCCTACCCAGCTCTGTAGGCTGCTCTGGATAGTGGACTCTGTCCCTGTCCCCTCTCGTCTCACAGGGCGACAGAGGTGAAAGGGGCCCAGAGGGGTTCCGTGGACCCAAAGGCGACCTCGTAAGTGAATGAGAACTTGGTTTTCTGTCCTTGTGCAGAGGGGAGGGCATGCAGGAGACCACGATTGAGCACATGCCAGGGGTGTGGTGGTGACTGTCCCATGCCTGCCTGTTGCTGGAATGGGGGTGGGGACTCTTGAAATCCCTGTGGGCGCCCTCAGCTCGCCTGGGCCAGGACTCCTGGAAGTGACCAGCAGCTTAGCAAGCTCTTGTCCAGGGTGGCCACCCTGAGCAGTTGGGCAGGGGCCCTGGTGGAACCCTGGCCCATGTGGCCCCAGGTGGCATGGCTGAGGCTGCCCACGGGAGAAGCGGGGTAAAATAGTGACAGGGAATGCATGTCGTGTCAAGAGATGAGCAGAAGTGACCGTCTCTGTGTTGACGTTTGCCTGTGGACGCTCCACGTCTCCGCTCTTGATCATGCCTGGCTGGCGAGAGGTCCGTTTGGAGAGGCTCTGGAGAGACTCACGCTGTTGTGGGATTGAGCCAAGCTGTCGGTGCTTCCGCTGCCCAGCACGGCACCTGGTGTCCCGAGCCACCTGGTCTCGGGCCACTAGGGAGCGGTCTCGAGTGCGGAGGTGGGACCGTTTTCCTGCTGCCGTGGCTCCTTCAGCCGCTCGCTGTGTCTTTCAGGGCAGACCTGGCTTCAAAGGGATCCCTGGTCTTGCGGGGCCTACTGGAGAGCCGGTAAGTGCCCCTTGCGGCAGTGGCTCCTTGCAGTGTCCTGCCATCCACGTCACGCCTGCATAACACTCCTCTCTTCCCAGGGCCCCGGGCCGTACACAGGCCACCACGGGCAGTTCAGGCCAGGGCCCCAGGGGTCCTCTTTCTCTTGGACCGCCTGGTTCTGTGGCCCTGGGGGGTAGATACTGGGAGGAGCCTTGGCTGATTCTGTGTGAGAAGAGTGGCTGAGTCTGGGGACAGGCCCGGGTCCAGATGCCGTCCCCTGGCTTCAGTTTTCCCATCTGTAAAGCGGGAGCCACACAGACCTTCCACAGGTGGAAGGAGTGGAAGGCCACATGTGGGCCCTGCCACACCCCTGGCTGGTATCTGCCTGTACCCACACACCTGTGGCCTCTGGGGGTGACCTAGAGGCCAGGTGACTGCTGCAGCCACCTGACCACAGATAGCCTATGGGCGCTCAGGCCCTGCTAGTCCAGGAGACGCAGACTCAGGGCAGGGGACACAGGGAGGCACCTGTCCTGCTGTAAGTGCGAGCAGGGGGCACCTTGGCACTTGTCTCCTCGTTCCCAGGGCATGCCAGGCAAGGACGGTCGGGACGGTGTGCCAGGACTCGATGGGGAGAAGGTCAGTACAGTGGCTGGTCCGCCCAGGGGTCAGGATGGCGAGGGGAGGGATTCGGCAGAGCCTAGCATCCATCCTCACCAACCCCCATCACTTGTCCCCGCAGGGAGAGGCAGGCCGCAATGGTGGCCCTGGAGAGAAGGGACCCAATGGGCTGCCTGTGAGTGCTGGCGGGGAAGGGCAGGCAGGGACCACAGGTGGATCACCACAGGACTGACCGGGGCGTGGGGTCAGGCCTGCCCAGCGTCTGCATGGTGCTGGGTGGGAGGTGCTGAGGCGGAGGCACTGAGGGGGTGGGGCTGGCACGTGCCGGGGTGCACAGAGCCAGGGTGCTCCAGGCGCACATTCATCCACGGGTGGCTGTAGAAGAGGTGGGTCTCACCCTGGGGTCCAGCGGGGGCCGCTGTGGGACGCTCTGCACGCGAGGACCGGGGTTGTGGGAGCCCCACGGGTCTGGGGAGGACCACTGGGCACACTCTGTCCTTGGCTGTGTGCACTGCCAGTGCCCCGAGGCTTGTAGCTCTGACCACCCCATCTTGGCAGGGGCTGCCTGGACGAGCAGGGTCCAAAGGCGAGAAGGGAGAATTGGTATGTGGCCTTCCTGGGGGATGGGAGGGGCTGCGTGGGGGCCTGCAAGGGAGTGCGGGCAGCACTCAGGAGCCCCCTTCCTCCACAGGGCAGAGCTGGGGAGCTGGGCGAGGCTGGCCCCTCCGGAGAGCCAGGCGTCCCTGTGCGTACCCTGCCCCTCTCCTGTGCCCACAGGAAGCCCCACCCTCCGAGGCCCCGTTCATACCCCCGCCCACCACTCCTGTGCCTGTATACCCCCACCCCATCCTCGCACATACCCCCACCCCATCCCCACGTGTACCCTGCCCTTGTCCTTGCATTTACTGCCATCCCCGGCCCCCTTCGTACTCCCACCTATCACCCCAGTACGTACCTCTGCCCTCCCCACATCCCTGTATGTTTCTCACACACACACTCAAACCTCCCCCTCCGCACGCAGGGAGATGTGGGGGTACCGGGGGAGCGTGGTGAGGCCGGTCACAGGGGCTCCGCGGTGAGTGAGGGGCAATCCTCAGGTGGGACCCCCATCTGCACAGGTTGGGGGAGGTTTGGCTGCAGCCCACCCAAAGCCAAAGGTGCCGCACAGTGTCCTCAGCCTCCCCCCTGGGTCCTCTCCCAGGACCGGGACAGAGGGCATGCCTGACCCCCTGTCACCCACCCACCTCCCCTGGAGGCCCTCCTCTGTGCCAGCAGCTGGGCCAGACCCTGGGTGGGCCCCTGTCTACCCAGTCACTGGCAGAGGAAGCTCCCAGGGGTTCTTTCGGGGTTCCCCTCAGATGACGGACACACACTAACACTCTCCTTTCACCCTGCAGGGGGCTCTTGGCCCACAAGGCCCCGCCGGTGCCCCAGGCGTTCGAGGCTTCCAGGTGGGTGAGGGGTGGTGCTGGGTTTGGCCTCGAGCAGTGACCACAGACTCAGGCCAGTGAGCCCAGGAGGGTGGGGAGCCTGGGGGGGAGGTGATGGAGGCGGCCTCCTATTTGGGGCTTGCTGACGGGGGTGCTGGGACTGTGTCCACAGGGCCGGAAGGGCAGCATCGGGGACCCCGGCCTACCGGGCCCTCAGGGCCTCCGAGGAGGTGTGGGTGAGCGGGTAAGTGGTGGTTCTGGAAGGGCTGCTGCACCCCCACACACATGCCACACCTCAAGACTCAGCAAAGGCCCGTGCGGTCAGGTCTCCCCGGGACCAGCCATCTGGGCCCCTGCACTGAGGGCAGCTGGGAGCCGTGCTGGGCCTGCACAGAGGTCCTTGTGGCAGAGGTACTCCCAGCGAAGCAGGCAGGGGTTCCGATGCACACCGGCTCCCTTCTGTGGAATGAGGACAGTGGGAGCCCCTGTCAGAGGCCAAGGTGCCCAGCTACTGAGCTCCTGTCCAGGATTAGGGGATGCGATGGTGGCACTGGCCTCCACCCTTACAAATCAGCTTGAAAACCTGCCCTAAAAGAGTGCCCTTGTCAAGGTTTGCAACCCTTTGCGGCCTGATGGCCTCACAAAAGCAGGGAGGCATCTGTGACAGGAGCCTGGGGCCACCCTGGGGCCAGGAGCCTCAGCACCGTGATGGGAGTTCCTGCAAGGAGGGCCTAGTGCTGCCCCTTCCTTGGAGAAGCTGAACCTCCCCCCAGTGTGCTGCCAAGACACCCTGCGGGCAGGGACAAAGCTTCTCTCCAGCCGGGTCCAGCGTGCAGGCCCTTCCTGCCTTCTGGGAAGCGCACAGATGCAGCTGCCTTCTCAGGGCTCCTTCATTCCAGTGGGGACTGACACCACCGCCCTGTGGCCTGAGGGACAGTGGGCCCTTTATTAGCGTCCAGGGTGGAAATTCCACGGCTTGGGGGGCAGGCCAACAGCCCAGGCCTGTGAGATGGCCACAAGGAGGGGGGCTGACAGCCTGGCACCCCGTGCTATCCTGTCTGCGCCTGAGGGGCTGCCGGCGGAATTTCCTGTCCGACCCACAGGGAAGGCGGGCGCCTTGTGCCCTTGGCAGTTCTCGCTTAGGCGCTGTCTGAGCAAATGGGGCTTTTAACAGTGTGATTTCGCTGTGCACCCCAAGTGCTCAGTCCCCGGGTGCACAGAGCGAGCTGCGCAGACCAAACGGTGGCGAGGCGCTGCCGTGGGTGCAGGCACCACCTCCTCACCAAGTGCCATGGCGACACCGGCCTGTGCGTGCGGGGCACGGGCGCAGGGCAGAGGCCGGCCTGGACGCGCTCCCATGCTACTTGGGAATGTGCTCTGGCGTTTGGGCCATGCACACGTGGCGGTGGTGCGTTTTCACAGCGCCCTCAGTGCCATGTGGAAGTGGGGTGGCCACCCACCCAGGGGATCCTGTACTCTTCTACTGCAGTGACTTCTCTCTGCCCGCAGGGTCCGGGAGGAGCCGCAGGTCTGAAGGGAGACCAGGTGAGGGGCAGACAGGGTTCCGGGGAGATGTGGGAGCAGCCCAACAGCTGTCCTCTCCCCAGGACTTTTGCTTCCTGCGCCCAGACGTCTGCCGGGTTTCCCAACCCTCTGAGCGGCCCCCTTGTCTCAGTTCTCGTCTGCTGGGTCCTTCCTGTTCCCTCTTGCTGGATCGCTGTCACCCCCCACCCCCCACCCTCCACCTCTAGCACAGCGGCAACAGCTTTGGGCACCCAGGTCCCCAAGTCGGGGCAGGGACTAGTGTAGTCTGCAGGCTGCCTGCCGGCCGTCGATCTCCCAGGACACCGTTGCTAGTGCAGGCAGCGGGGGCTCTGGGAACCAAGCCCCAGGGAAGGAGCATCCCTGGTCTCCTCCTGGGAGCAAACTCCGAGGGCAGTGTGGGCTTGCCTTGGGGCTGAGCAGAGAGCTGTGTGCCCCGCAGCCCCTTCGCTCTGGAAGTGGGGTGGTGGGGAGGGGAGGAGAGGGTATAGCTACCACCTGCTCACAGCTCAGCTGCTGGCCCCTAACCTGCAGGCGGCACCAGGGCCTTCTGGGATTGGTGTTGGGTGCCACTGAGGCAATTCTGACTCATAGTGACCCCATGCCACAGAGCAGAACTGCCCGGTTTCCTAGGCTGTCTGTCATCTTTACGGAAACAGATCTTTTCAGTGAGCAGCCGAGAGCTTGACCACTGCATCATGAGGGCCCTAAAGTCAGTGACAAGGCAGGTTCCAGGCCTTGGACTTGTGGGCTCACCTGGGGCTGTACTTCTGCCAGTCCCTAGACAGTTCTCATGCACCCCAAGGTGTGTGTTCAGGTAGCTCAGGGCTGACAGGAGTCAGCTAGGCTCATGGACCACTTCCTGCTACCTTGGGGTGTCTTTTCCAGGGCATTGCTGGTGCTGACGGTCTTCCTGGGGATAAAGGAGAGCTGGTAAGTGTGCCAATGACCTTGAACCGCTTTTGAGAACAGCTGACCTCGGTGGGGCCACCTGCACATTCACAAAAGCACAAGGGCTGAGGTGCTGGTTGGCAGAGGCCTGCCTACTGCTTGTCCCTCTGGGCCAATGGGCCGGCTAGCAGGAGAGCCGACTGTCTAGTCCCCAGCAAAGGGCCGGGGCCACATCTGGATGCCCGCCCCTGGCTCACATTGAGGGACCCACCAGCACCTGGAGCACACTCCCTCCTCATTGACTGATGTGGTTGGGTTCAAAGACCAGGCCATTACATGAAAATGAAGAAGGACTACACTACTACGCGACCACCAGGTCACACCTACCGGGTCACACTACTACACGGCTGCCAGGTCACACCACTACACGGCTGCCAGGGTGCTCCACTGCGCAGCTGCTGGGTCGCGCCCTTACCGCGTCCCTACGTGGCTGCTGGGTCGCGCCCCTATGCAATGGCCAGATCACTTCGAATCATCACCCAGCCGGGTTGACACATGACCTTGACCTTCACAGCTGGCTTCCTTCTGCCTTAAAGCTCGGCATCCATCACTCCCAGATATATGTTGTTAATGCCTGGAGAGTTGATTTTTTTTTTTACTGTGGTTGGAAATGTGATGTGTTCGGTCACGAGTTAGTGGATGAGTGAGAAGGGGTAGTGACACCCCTCGTGAAGGTCCCTCCATCAAGGTCCTTTCGTGTTCATTGAAGACAACCACGCTTCCGCGGAGCTGGCCATCATCCATAAGCCCGGACCTGGGCTGCAGGCTTCCTGTTGTACCACCTTCTCGCTTTCCACATTCCTCTTCTGCATGTGACCGCAGTGCATGCGTCACCAGGGCTAAAGGCAAAGATCTTTCTGGCCTTGGTGGCCAGGGTGTGTAATCTAATGCAGTGTCCCTTGGTGTCTGCACACAACACTGCTCGTCCCAGGGACCCGGACTGCAGAGCCCTGGGAGCCTGTGCAGGCCGTCTCTCCAGACAAGACAAGCTCAGTTTTGCGTTATTGTTTTTTTTTCCCAAGTTCTTAGATCACCTTGACAAATGGGACCCTGGGAATCAGGAGGAGGGCTGGCCTGGCCCCGTTAATGTGGTGGAGTGGTGAAGGGACGGTGTCTCTGTGTCAGGGGGTCTGACCCTCTGCTGTCAGCTACTTTGGTGGTCAGACAGCAACTGTGACCACACACCCAGGTCTGAACAGAGCTGTGTATCCAGGGCTCAGCCCCTGGACAGGGGACCGGGAAGCGTGGTCAGGCCCAGCTCCCTGCTCACACACAGGCCAGCCTAGCCTGGGGGCTTTCCTGAAGACACAGCTAGACAGCGGCCGGACCCTCAGAACCAAACATTCATCCCGGCTCTGGGGTGGTGTTCTTTCAATAACACCGTATCGTGTTTTTTGTGAAAGTCTGCACAACACATTCGGTTGCCATGAATAATTTCCGCACACACTGTGACAGTGGCGCTTCACAACGTGACAATATTCTTATTCTGTTTATAGGAACCTAGCATCCCTGCCCTGCCCCTTTTCATCTTTGCTTTAGGGCAAATGTTGGTTTGGTCAAATACCAATTTTTTTGGGCTTCATTTAGAGTAAAAACAACAGGAAGCAAAGTCCGCGTGCGAGACAGTGCTGTTCAGGGTCCACCTGGTGCCTGGGAGGCAGACTGCCACCCCACTGATGACAGCAACCAGGCGTCATTAACACGAAGCCCTTTTCCGTTTGCAGGGTCCCAACGGGCCCGTCGGACCCAAAGGAGCGGTGAGTGCAGGATGCCCTGCCCCATCCCTCAGGGACCAGGACGTCCTCCAGTGGCTGCCCAGACCTGCAGCCTGTTCACACATTCAGCCGTGGGGGGGGACAAACAGTGGCCCACGCACTGCCTGGCCCCTGACAACCACTTCTCTGTTCTTTGTCTAGTCTGGCGACAGAGGCGAGCTGGGCCCCAAAGGCATCCAGGGTCCCAATGGCACCAGTGGCATTCAGGGGGTCCCAGGGCCCCCTGGCCCTGTGGGCTTCCAGGGGGTCCAAGGCCTCCCTGGCATCACGGGCAAACCTGGTGTTCCGGTATGCGTTTCCTTGGCTGGCCTGGACGCTTTTCCTAATCCATCAGTTACCTTTCAGAGTGTGACCGGGGACTCCTTGCTGACGGGTCTCTGGTGACTTTCAGGGCAAAGAAGCCAGCGAGCAGCACATCCGGGAGCTGTGCGGGGGTGTGATCAGCGGTGAGTGGTCCTGGGTGGGTCCCAGACAGGCCCTGCACCCCCACCCTGCCGTGGGGGCTCACAGTACCTAACCGTTACACTCGGGTTCCCCCCTTGCCCACCTTCACCCGAGTGCTGACCGAGCCCCTGCCCTGTCCTGTCTGGTACTGGGTGGGGAGTTGCTTCTCCTACCTGAGCAGTGCACACATGCCTGGTGCACGGCAGATGAAAACACGTGAGCCCTCATGGCTCTGTGCCATGGTTCCCAGGACTGTAAGAGAACGAGTGTCCGTCCCAGGCCTGAGCCTCGTTCTCGGGAGCCCGGGAGAAAGCAACCACTTCCTGTGCCACCCGAGCAGGTGACATGTTCTCAGTCAGGGCCCAGGAGCAGGGCGGTGCTCCTGTGCTGCACAGGGGCGCTGACGAGACCCTCGGGAGGTTGACGGCTCACCCTTTGTCCCAAGAACACGTTGCACAGTTAGCCGCTCACCTGAGGAAGCCTTTGGCACCGGGCTCCATCGGGCGGCCTGGGCCAGCCGGCCCCCCGGGCCCTCCAGGCCCCCCAGGCTCCATCGGCCACCCTGGCACTCGAGGGCCCCCTGGATATCGCGGTCCCACTGGAGAACTGGGAGACCCTGGACCCCGAGGTGAGTGAGCCAGCCCCGTGCGACATGTTCCGCTGGGACATAACACAGCAGCACCCCGAGATCCCTCCAGTTAGGCAACCCCACTGAACCCCCATCTGTTTCAAGGCCCATCTAGCACTTCTTAGCTGGTATTTAAGAAATGCTCTAAGACCCTGAAGAGATTAATCCTGGGAGAACAGAAGGGCTGTGTATGCACAGGGAGACAGCTCAGGGGGCAGGAGTGCATGTTGGGAAGGACACAGGGAAGAGGAACTATGGGGAGGAAGTGGGAGGGGAGCTGCAGCATTGTGGGAAATTATAGTCAATGTCATGAGACAAAGTGAATGTGAGCTGCTGTATGCAAAGTGAATTTGCCTGTAAACTTTCATCCAAATCACAATAAAAATTGAAAAAAAAAAAAAAAAAAAAGCTGTAGAAAAGGGAGCTGCCACCAGCAGTGGCTGAGGTGTTGACTCCTGGAGGGCTGGGACCCTTGATGCAGTTAACAGTGTTCACCTGGTAGGTACCGAACATTCCAAAGTCAGGTGACCACGTCCTCAATGGTCCACTTAAAGACCTGAGAAACGCGCACACAGGAGCCCCTCCCTAACTTGTGGGGAACCAGCAGTGGGTGACAACTTCTGTGGCTGAGGGTCAAACAGACTTCAGAACCCTGGGAAGGCTGTGCAGGAACGGGGAAACCCGCGAGACTGAGATCACTGGGGCAGCCGTGGACGCTGTACCCCCCACAGCAGCCGAGACTTCACCTCGACGGTTTCCAGTCTCAGTGACTGGGGATGGTTCAGGGGCCCAGACAGACGTGGGGGCATCTGGAAGCCCGGATAATACACAGTCGTGTGGGTTTTGGACACTAACATTCCCCAAAATAGCCTTTAAATTGAGACAAGCAGTTGGCCACATAAAGCCAGCTTGCCTGTGGCCTGGCCCAGATAGAGGCCTGAAAGGCGGTGTGGTGTCCAAGTGACTAGCTCCGAGATACCGAGTGGGCTGCTCATGAGAACGGACGGGAACAAAGTTCCTAAGAGAAGAGTCTTTGCGAATCCTCTCTTCATCCTCGAGCCGAGATTGCAGCACTGCGGTGAAGAGCCTTCCGTGACCCATTTGAGAGTTTCAGGCCCCGAGTGTCTGCAGCCAGATCCCTCTCGCCACGCACCATCCCTCCACGTTAGCCCTCAGTAGCTCTAGTAGTGCAGCGCCTGAGGCACTGGACTGCTAACCAGGAGGCTGTGGTTCAAACCCACCAGCCGCTCCACAGAAGGAAGAGGGGGACGTCTACTTGTGTAAAGATTTACTGCCTCTGAAACCCAGCGGGGGTCACCATGAGTTGGGATAGACTCCATGGCAGCGGGTTGGGTTTTAGATGCCTGTCACCTTTCCTGAGACACTTCCAGTCAGGACCACCTCCAGGCCTCCTGGGCTGTGTAAAGCCACATGAGGGACTGAGCAGGCCCACAGAAGACCCGCTAAGATTCTTCTCATGTGGGGATGTGGATTTCTTCGGGACTTTCAAAAATGAAACTCAAAGCACAGCATTAATCACCGTTATGGGTCACCTTTATTAGTTCTCTCAGAAAAAACCGTAACTAAGACACTGAACAAAGCCAAGGTCACCACAGAAAGTGCAGCCAGCCATGCGGCCTCCTGGAGCTTTCTGCCCAGACAAGCCCTGAGCCCTCACAGCACAATCTGGGGGACTCCACCAGCGCCTTTCCCGATGGGGGGGCTGGGCACCGTGTGGAGCCGGATAGTTACTGTGACAATGGATGAGGGTTTGACACCAGCAGTGGAGCATGGAGTAAGGGCGGGTGCTCACATGAAAGCCAGTTCCTAGAGGGCTTCCGTACCCCTCCCTGGAAAATGGGAATCAGCCCAGGCGGGAGCACCCCCCGTTCACCAAGGACACTCCAGGTCCTTCAGCTGCTGTGTGTGACCAAAGCCAGCCTCACGTGGCATCAGACAGCATTACTGCTCAGTGCCCACTGGGGAGACCAACTCATGCTCCCACAGCCAGACGCCACTCCCCACCTGCGACCAGTGACAGCCACAGGGCGAGGCTGCCTCCACACTATAGGTCAGTGTTAGGAGGTAACAGCAGAAGCCTGAGAGAGAGGCCGAGACGCTGGCCCCAGGGAAGCTAGTCACTGCCATTAACCTTGGGTAGAAGGGACCCTGTCACAGTGCTCCTGCCCAGTGTCACTACACGGACCGAGGTTCCATCTGCCAGGAACCCAACTCCAGGATGAAGGGTGTGTCTAATGTCCGAGCTTCGTAACAAAGCCAAGGGTGGCCCCCCTGCCAGCATGATGGGAGACGTCCTTGCACCGCTCTCGGCAACGAAGGGTCCCGCAGACCACGCAAGTAGAGACGGGAGATCTGAGTACAACTCGGGGGGCATTTAAAACTCCCTTAACTGGCTCCTGGGTCAGAAGTCAGAGCTGACAAGTATACAGTTTTTGAACAAAACTAAATCCCATCAACACTGGGGGCCAGTGGGCAGCACTCAGGAAACTGGCTGTCTTGACCTGGGCACGTGGTTACGGCTTGGCTGCGTCCGTCGGGCCCTACACGGCCGACATGGCTTCTCTCCACATGCCTGAAGGGTCAGGACACTGCTGTAGAGAAGTGGGTGCCCTCTTTCCCACAGGGGGGTATCCCGCTCTGTTGAGGGTGCTTTGTGACACTGCACCAGAAACCTGTCTTTACCCTTGGTAACTGATGTTCTAAACTGTGCATATCCAACATCTTGTGACAGGAAACCAAGGTGACAGAGGGGACAAGGGCGCTGCCGGCATCGGCCTGGACGGACCTGACGGAGATCAAGGGCTCCAAGGTATGGCCCTTGAGGCGGATGAGGCTGCTGCGGGGGGCTTCCGTAGCTCGGCGCCCTTTCCCAGTTCTCGCAGCTTCCCACGGGAGCGTCTGCCTCACGCAAGTGTCACCCTTTCTTCTAAAGGAATCTTGTTTTCTTTTGGCAAAGCGTTCTTAGAGATAAGATTAGGGGTAACTGCTTTAAAACATACAGTTTAATCAGTAAGCAGAGCCTCCCGTATCTCCTGTAAGGAGTTAGATCTCAATTCATTTAAGGTGTTCAGGGACTGTGTCCTGTTTCGGTTACGTCCCAGCTAAGATGTTGCCCCCTGCACATGCTGCGTATTTAAATATCTTAAATGCTGACTAGCAATGTCCCTGCCCCTACAGAGGCCACCCCTACCCTACCCTGGTCCGGTCTTTGCTTCTCGGGCCTGTGCTCCAGATCACCCTCACGCACGCCGCACACACCCAGCCTGTGAATCTGGGCCCTGTTGGGGATGCCTGCTCACAGCCCCTGGCACTCGGTGTGGGGGCAGGGAGGCCGCCTTCTCCCCATTGCCTCCTTGGTGTTGGTGCCTGGCCTTGTCACCTCTTGTGCTGCCCTAGCTGTTCCTCTCTGAGCCCCAACACCCAAGTGCCCTTGGTTGGGGCTGCCAGTGGCATCTCTGTGTTGAACCCCATGGATGCCAGTTTCCCAAACCGACCCCAGTAAAGGCCTCACCACCCACTAGTTAGTGGACACTGACTGCTCCTTCCACACAGACCTGGCCCACCCCCACCTGTATGGTCACCACCACCGTCCCTCCCGAAGACCCTCCCAGCCCCTCAGCTGGGGTCTGCCGGCTTCCACTCCCCCCGCCCCTCGCAGCCAGGGTCTGCCGGCTTCCACTCCCCCTGCCCCTCGCAGCCGGGGTCTGCCGGCTTCCGCTCCCCCCCACCCCAGGGCCATTCTTCATGCAGCATTCGGTAAGCCCTTCCCAGGCATCCGTGCCGTGGCACAGGCGGGGAGCCCAGCCTCCGTTGGCCCTTGCACACTCTGCCTCCTCCCAACCCTGTGCGCCCTTCCCCACTTGGTGTCCTGCTGGCCTCACACCCAGGCTCTTGGTCCCTTGGCCTCTCATGGGGTTAAGCTATAAGCTGGCAAAAGGGTTGGGCTCAGTAAGAAAACGGAGGAAGCAGCACCAGCCTTGAGTCCACACCACCTCTAAATGTACCCCATCCCTGGTCTGTCTCCAGGTCCACAGGGGGTGCCTGGCACCAGCAAAGATGGACAGGACGGCGCGCACGGCGAACCCGGGCCTCCTGGTGACCCTGGCATTCCTGGCACAATCGGTGCCCAGGGTACCCCTGGCATCTGTGATACCTCAGCTTGCCAAGGAGCTGTGCTAGGAGGGGTTGGGGAGAAGTCGGGCCCCAGGAGCTCATAAAATACAGCATGAGGAGGGAGACGTTCCTGAAACAACATGCCTCGGGAGGTCACCCACGGTCGGCGGGGTTTCCAACGTGCTCATTACACCCGAGAGCCCTCCTGGCCTGTCCTCTCAGCACCTTCGACAGCAGTTGACTGGACGCTAGTCCCTGAGAGGACCCTTCAGCAGCAGCTGCCACAAGGATCCTGCCTCTCCATGTCCTTACTGTGGCCTGTTCATCCATCATCTCATACCTCAACACCCCTGCAATAAAATTGTAAGCTCAGCATTCAAGAGAGAGATAGGGTATATGTACAAGGACTTGGGTACAACTCCATGTCAAACATACGCGGCAGCTGTCAAGGTGGCCCCATGTACAGACGGTAAGGTCCCAATAAAGTGACATCTAAATCTTCAGACAAACAATTGGCCACAGTGTCACAAGAGGCCCTTCTCTCCGGAGGGCTAGTCCGAGTCCCCGCTTCCTTCTGTGTGAAGACACTCACCTGTCCGGGGCTCACAGTGTTTCTTGAAGGGGCCGTGTCACACTAAGTCTACTGGTGTTTCTGTTGTAATCAATAAAGCCACTCATGTGAAACTCAGTGCCAAACACTAGTTTATTACACATGAAGTAAGGAGTTTGAATGTGATAATAGGGCACTGAGGCAATTACTGTGACAACATTTAATTTATGGACAAAAGGAGCTTTAAAGGGGCCTGGACATTTTCTAGCAAAAAGGTTAAAAACAGCACTGCATTTTGCAAGACAGTACCGTGTGGCTGGGAGGCATTACAAGGGGGAGTGACACAACCAAAATGAAATAAATTGCCAAACTATTCTAGTTAAGAACAACTGACCTTGTTCTGACTGCTAAGTGGGCATGTTTAAAATGCAAATAAAGTAAAAGCAATGTACCCTTCAGGACTCAACCAAGCACAAAGGATGTTCATTTCTTAAGTTTTCATGTTAAGAAAACATGATGGAATCAGACAGGTAATTGAAACATGACTTACTAATTGTTGTCAAAATGTCTCCACTCCCCAAATGGTCTAAGAGGACACTAGTGGTAGTTAGTTTTACAAAACGCACTTCCCCGGTCCCTGCTCCAGCCCCGCCGGCTTGAGCCACGTCACCTGCGTGTTCCGGTCAGAGCAGAGCTGCAGGGTTCAGGCGGTGCTGGGGATCACGACGGTGGAGCCGCTCACGCGTGCAGAACCAGCGCCCCATCACTTGATCTCCACAGCCGGGCTGCCCTGCAGGCCCTCCTGCGCAGGATATGCCACCAACGCGTCAGATCTGGTCAGCTTAAGCCGCCTGCCGGTCTTCCCACAGAAAACACTCTCGAACTCCTAGAGTCAGAGGAGGTCATGAGTGTGCAGGATTCAAGGACCAGCCTGTATGAGGGGCTGCGACGCTCCAGGGGGCGGGGGACTGAAAGGGGGGAACACTCCAGGACAGACTGCCTAGAGTGGCATTTGCTTTCAAAAACACAGCACACCTACTAAAGGGGCAGGCTCAAACATTTTCCCAAAGAGCAAATATATTTGACAGAAAACTCTCAGAAAGTCTGACTGCGTTGTGAAGCCTTCTTGCATGTTTTTGGAAAAATCGGCCAAGTCTGTGTCTTCTTTGTAACGGGAGCACACAGACTGACCATCACCCCACAGACACAGATGCCGGAAGGGCTGTGCCTCTCACCCAGTGTAGAGTAGGGCCCACCCCGAGTCTCAGCAAGCCCTCGGCCCAAGCTACAGGAAGCCCGGGGGCAGCGCCATGGAGACACACCAAGGATCCCCTCTCACCAATGAATCGAGGTGAGAGTGAAGGACGGGGGCTGCTCTAGCACGAGTGTTTCCGGAGTTCAGTTTTCAAATCCTGATTCAAATAAATCAGCTGTGAGCAGACAGCTATAAGCCAGCTGGAGAAAGCGGGGCCTGGGCGGGTACTGAGGCGGGATCTCACAGTGTCTCAGGTAATCCGTGTGGCGGTGGCTGCATTCTCACACCGCGCCCCCTGTGGAGGTGTGTGATGCAGGAAATGATACGTTTATGCAGATGCCACAAGGGAGGACAAGACAAAGCCACAGCTAAGGCCGAGTTCCACGTATGCAGTCTCTGCTTCACTGCACGCTGGATGGGCACTTCCATGCTAAGTGTTTTCTTCTCTAAACACACAGCATTCTTACACAGCTAAATTTGGGATTCTCTCTCTTTCACTGTGGTAAGATACATATAACATAACATTTGCCATTTTAAGTATGAAATTCAGTAGCGTTCACGATTCCACAGGATGGTGTGACCATCACTGCTGTTTCCACACTTGGTCATCATCAAACACAAACTGTATCCATGGAGCGGTCACTTCCAGCCGCTCCGAGGAGGAAGATGGGGCAATCTACCTCCACAAAGACTGCCTCAGAAACCCAATGAGGGTCGCTACGAGTCACAACCGCCTTGATGGCAGTGGGTTTGCGTTTTTGCTTTTCTCACTGCCCGTCCCTGCCCCAGTGACCTCTAGTCTACTCCGTGTCTCCAGGAGGCAGCCCACTGCAGGCAGTGGGTACACAAGTTCTCCCTTCATGTGGTGTGTGCAGCCACTGAATTTCTGGGTGGTCAGGATGTCTAGCGCATGGCCACGTCACATTTTAGTGGCTCCCTGACCAAAGCCATCTGCTCTTACCACCAACATTCAGAAGCTACAACTGCGTAAAACAGACTCTCATTTCCGCCCAAACGTTTAACAGTCTCAGGATCTCACTGCCACTGAACATGAACCACAGTTTGACAACTCCCTAAGTTCTGGTTCCCAAAGCCCAAGTGTCAAGTTCGTGTCTGCGTCAGGGAAGGAGACTTGCCTTCTAGGAAACGAAACGGTGGTCAGAAAGAAGGCAGGAGCTTGTCTCAGTCACCGTTCACAGAACACGAGGTTAGCCCTGGGGGTTCGTCTTTATTCCCAACAGCTCTGCCAGCCCCTCGAAGGGTCCCCTGCAGTCAAGGGGATGTGACACCTCACTTGGAGTTGGGGGTGCTGTGGGAGAGTGAGCCAGGCAGGACTCCACCTCCCCCTCTGTCCCCAACACCAGGCCAAGGCCAGAGGTCAGAGCAAAGTCCCAATTAACCTCCTTTCAATGGAACATGAAATACTGAGCTGTAAGGGTGTTTACCACATATCAAAACTTGAGATGCGTCATCTGACCCAAATCGACATTCACATCAGATGGGTAAATATGAGAGTAATGCCCATAAAAACTGTGATTTCTTATTGGGAAGAAGAGACGTGCCAATCAGACTCCTGGCAACTGTGCCAGGAAGTAACTGAGTGGAGGGAAGCTGGCGGAGTAAAAGCATTGGGGAGAGAATGGAGGCAAAGGACGAAAGGACAGAGACCATGCGTCGAACTCACGAACCAAAGTGCTCGAGCGGAGATGGAATGGGCGCGGGCCACAGGCCCCCAGCAGAGCCTAATGCAAACCCCGAGAGCACCCCAAGAAGCCCTGGCCCGCCCAGTCAGGGGCAAGTCCCCGTCACGTCCCTCACTCCTGGCCCAGCAGCGCTGAATGCCATAAACATGCACGCTGTACAAGCACACACGTTCCTTCTGATACACGGACCACGTAAGAGGTCGAACAGGGTTTCCACAAACTAACGTGTCGCTGTCACTGCACTGTACTTCTCTTCCCTGATCACAGCGTGGTGAAGGGAGACAGAGGTTCCTGAAAAGACAGAAAGGAACTCGACAGAGCTGGACCTTAAAGACCCCTTCCAGAGGCCTGTGTGCTGAAGGCAAGGTGAAAATGACATGCAAGCAAAAAGATACTCAGACCAGAGACAGGGAGGCACATACCCTAACCAGTGGGGAGTTTTCACAAGGGCACTAGACAAATGGAAAACGGACTTCCAGTTCACGTCACCAAGAAAACTGTAAAAAATGAAGGGAATGATGGAAATGAAGGCACAAAGAGTAAAACTAAATATGACAGAAAAAAACACTAACCCCCACCACACAGAGAGAGGGGGCTGGCCACTCCACCAAGACACACACAGAGGGGGCTGACCACTCCACCAGACAAAGAGAGGGGGCCAACCACCCCAACACACACACACAGAGGGGGCCGACCACCCAACACACACAGAGGGGGCCGACCACTCAACCAGACAGAGAGAGGGGGCCGACCACCCCAACACACACACACACACACAGGGGGCTGACCACTCCAACAGACACACAGAGAGGAGGCCAACCACTCAACTAAACAGAGAGAGGGGGCCGACCACCCAACACACACACAGAGGGGGCTGACCACCCAACACACATACAGAGGCCATCCAACACACACACACAGAGGGGGCCGACCACTCCACCAGATACACACACACAGAGGGGGCCGACCACTCCACCAGATACACACACACACGGGGCCGACCACCCAACACATACACAGAGGCCATCCAACACACACACACAGAGGGGGCCGACCACTCCACCAGACACACACAGAGGGGGCCGACCACTCAACACACACACAGAGGGGGCCGACCACTCCACCAG